AAAAAGCTCCTTTGTGTTGTAATGCATTTTTGTAAAATATCTGAATTTCTATGCCAACTTTGAGCCTCGTTCCATAAGACATATTTATCTGGAAAAGGCTATCTTGCAGCAGAGTAGTGTCTTGTGTCATCATTTTTGTGGCATCTTTTCAGACCAGCACAGGAATGTAGCATCTGATAATGAAAAAAAATTAGTGCTCATTGTCAGACATGTAAACTTCTTGGGTTTTTAATATCCTTTTACTATTACGTGTCTCTGAACTCCTGGTGAGTACTGTAAGAGTCTTTGAACCAAGGTGAAAGCCAGAACTCTATGTTCCTTCCTCAAGGCAGAGATGCTGAAATGAGAGGGTTTTTATCTGCTGCTTCTGAAAGAAGGGGCCATTACCTCGAGCCTTACTTGCAGATCTGAGAGCTCCTCTGCACGTGTGGGTGCATTTCAGTGGCACAAACTGCCGACTGTGGAGGCAAGACTTCCCCAAGCTGGTGAGCTGAGCACATGCGCTTGCCTGAATGAAGCTGAACGGCCCATGGCAAGCCATGCCTGCAGCCCAAGCAGTTGGTTTCAGAACAAGCTCTGTGACAGCTGGGCCTCACACCAGCAGAGCAGAGCTGCAAGCTGGCAGGAGTGTGTCAGGCTTCATAGACGATGTTTGGGGAAGCATTTGCCACATGGCATATAAGAATCTGAAGCAGTCAGTGTGTGCATGGATTGGTTGTGGAGCAGACCCAAGTGAACACAGGGATGTGCGATGCAGGGGCTGCTGCCTGGGTAATGCAGAGCTGGGCACAGTGGGCTGCTTCCAAACACCAGGCAGACATCAGGGCTTAGAAGTTGATTGTCATTCAGGAGCACACTGAGTAGTTCTTTAATGAAATGGGATTAAGAAATTCACATTTCAAAATCTGATCTGCATGCAGAATGTGGACGACTGTGTATCAGGTCACTGTATTCACAGCGCGGAGATTCGAGCACGTTTGTGGTCTCTGATGCACAGCAGCAAAGGTGGAGCAAGAACCCAGAGTTCAGTATATTGCTGTCATAGAAACTGATGGCCGGGTGCAACCGTGCAGCGGGACAACCTGCAGACCTGATACAGTCATCCATACAGCACACAATAGTGGAAATTAAAGGTCAGAGAACTGATAGCGAGGCTTAGGAAAACGGCAATTAGGCTTCTAGAAAGAAAAGCTAAATTACCGGCAGTAGGAGTAAGGGGAAAAAAAAGAAGATTATTGATCTAAATATCACATTGACAGATACACACAGTACAGTCTAGAGGTTTTTTACACCTCTGGGCTTTCTCAGCCCCCACAATAAAAAATGCAGGCCTATAAAGATGGAATAAGAAGCAATCAATTAGGTTGGCATTTGCTTCTTTCCACGCTGCAATTGGGCAGGCACATCACAATTAATGATTTATTAGGAGATTTTTGCTTTTTTTTTTTTCCATTTTACATAGATGGCTGCAGCTGGACTGTAGCTGTTTATTAATTTGTGTGCATTCAAGCATCTTTGTTAAATAGCATGTGGAAAAGGTAAACATTTGGCTTGCAATAGGATTATGTTGCATAGTATGTGGAGGCAAACTCAGCCTGGCATGCAACTCTATATAGTGTTGGGTTCCCTGGCTGCACTTTCACATAAAAAGTTTTCACAGCTTTTTATTGAAAACAGCTAGGAAAAGGCAAGTACACTAGAAAAAAGGAATTCCATTTAGAAGAAAGCCTGAATAATTATCTCCATATTCATCCATTTCAATTGAACACCTCCCTAGGAGTGGCTGCAATGAGCTAATTGGCTTTATTCTGCTGTGCATGGCTTCACAGCCCAGACTCCAGATTTATAGCACACAGTCAAGAAGGTGTGTGAATTCATCATTTGTCCCCCCACATCAATCCCTGACTCCTCCTGAGTGATATTTGTCTGCGTGTTTATATGCTGTCAAGTGCTGGACGAGACAAAAGACAAACTCTGGGATTAAACAATTTTAGTAGAATCTGATGCAACCAGAAAATCAGAATGAATTATTACCTTTTCAGTAAGACATGACTTCAGACAGGCCAGCTCTAGAGGAATGAGAAAAGGACTTCTGCCAGCACATGCTTTTATGGAGAGAAGGGGGAAAAAGACAGTACAGAATTTAAGAACTTGAAAACATGCCAAGTTCAGAACAAATTCTTATCTCATAAGGAAAGCGGAGTGTGTAACAATCAGCCACAGAAGTCTTTCTGAACGGTCTCAGAAAAGCACTCTGGAAATTAAGGACTTCAAATGCAACAATTGAAAGTGAAGCTAAATGAATTACAAGGGAATACGAATAAATGCTACAATGTATAGGTCAAGCAGTGTTTTATCAATCTTATGTTTACTCTAGCAGCTCTCATGTTGCCCATTGTTTTACCTTGTTTGAGCAGATATGCTTCTCTTATTTGAAAATCAATTGTAATCTTATGAAAGAAAATGTACAGCAGTGGGAATGCTGTAAAGCAGCACAGTGAAAGAAAGCATTGTTCACTATCTGGAATTACTCCCAAGTAGGGAGGGAATGATGTTAAAGGAGTGTGCATAGCTCTGAGTTGCCATCGTTCCTTTCCAACGTGCCATATAATGTCATTTCTTAATTTTATTAAAAGTAAAGACAATTGTGGGCAATGCATGAGCAGCACTTATTTACACTACTGATAGTGGGAGAGCATAAGAAGAAGGAAAGATGAGCTACGTTTTTGATTCCCAGTGGCTGCTGATCCAAAGGTTATAAAAGTTGGTCTCATTTTTGAGGTGCAGCCCTCTTCACCTGCACAGCTTCAGATGGGTCCTTTGATTCTAGTGTAGTTACTGTTCTTATCAGGAAAATATGTGCCTATGTAAACATATGGATAATATCTACCCCTAGAGCTGCACAGGACTAAATCATTTCCCAGATATGCCTAGTAGGTGTCGACAACTGAATCAGCTCCTGGATTGCTCAGTGTCTGCTGAGCACGTTGAGTTTTACCCTAATAGAAAGGAAGATTATGATCCTCCTTTAGACTTTACATTGAGATGTGTTTGTGTACTCAAGATTGTTGATATACCTCCTATTTTAAAAATATGCCTTAGTGTAAACTATTTTGCTGCAAGCCAAAAGCAGATGTTGTCATGGCTTTTAGAAAAGCTGCTGTAACATCTGTTGGCAGTTGTGTGGTATTTGCCCACGTAGCCAAACTCATTGGCAACACCTGGATTACGATCTGCTAAAGGTGCTAAGCAGCCTGGAAGACTGGACCTCCTCAATGTCTTAAGTACAGTTGACAGCTTTCTCTTAATCCTGTTTGGTTTTGCATGGCATAAACCTGGTGGTAGCAGGCAAAAACTGTGGTCCAAGGTCAGAGATTGGCAATAGATGCACAACATGCTTAAATCCTTCGAAATTGCAACAGATAAGATCTTGTGATATTAGCAGTGCTGTCATCTACTCGAAGAGAGTGGGAGCTGATCAGCTTGTCATTGCTGGCATGCCATACAACATTAACGTGATGTAATAGGCAATAACTAGCTTGGATTTAGTAAGAGACGATCCTGCTAAAGTAATCTCCTTCAGTTCTTTTGAGCAGGTTTCAGACAAAATCGGTAATAGGAGTGTACATATGACATAATCTAATGGATTTTTCAAAAGGCTTTTGATAAATTTCCATATGATATTTCCCCTGTTTAAGCTGTGTGCCACAGAGATTTCAAATTGAGCAAGAGAATGCGTAAAGAACGAGTGAAACTGTGGGAAATAGAAAGATCTATAGCATGTACTGGAATTAGAATCCTCTCTCAGCTTCCTACTGTTCTTCCCCACCACTCAGCATGGCTGGAAAGAGATACCATCTGCATTCACTAATGAAAATTTGTTTAGGACAGGTTCGTACCAGAAAAGAGGGCAAAATGCCATTCAAGATACCACTAAAGAGCAAATTTAAATCTACATTAACATAGGGCAGATTGAATATTTTTGCTGGCAGTAGTGTAATAATGTACAGTAAACATAAGCACACTGAAGGGTGCCGATGGATGCGTATGGGTTAGTACTGAGAAGGGACTCTTGTGCTAACAAAGGAATGATTTATTATCATTTACATAACCTGGCATTTGTGAACACCAAAGGCCAGATTTTCGGAGTGCTCTGCTCCTGCAGTTTGGGGCCAGGCTCTCACTTGCAGACTCAGAGCCAGCTCCTATCATTTCTCCAGTGTTTAATTTGCCATATGTCAATCAGAGTGTTGATTTGCAAGTGCCGATAATAGGCAGCGTTGAGAGATGAGCACATTTGAAAATTTGGGAATGTGTCTTACTGGCAGCTTCTGAGCTCCAAATACTGGAAGTTTTCAGAGGCCAGGATCCCTGATCAGCCATATGATAAATCAAGGCCTGGAAAGCAGAGAGAATGCAGCTAATGCATCAGGATATGCCTGAACTGGACATGCTCCATGAAAATCAGTGCTAAATGAGAGCATTAAGCACCAGGAAGGGCAGTGGCAAAATCACAAGAAACACTTTAAATAATGAGACAAAATCAAATCAAGTGCACGAAAGAAAGAAATTCTCTGAAGATGCAATAAAATGCTCTCACTGAAATTTGAGGGAGGCAAAATACCTTATTTTAAAGGGATGTAGTCATCATAAAAATGGCATATTTTAATCTGCCGTTTTTACCTGCTGTTCACATTAACTCTCTGATTGCTCCAGCAAATCAGGAACATTTCTGTTTTTCCTCAAACATTTGTTGATATGTGGGCAGTGGGTGGGTGAGAGTGACTTTCCTCTCATTTGGACCAAACAGTGAATCTGGGCTTCAAAGGCCTTGGGGATATACGAACAGCAGTAGTGAGAAAGGGACAAGTCACAATGAGCAACCCCATGGTCCTCTCCATGAACTGAGGTCTGTGTCTGTGTGCTGCTTAAAGGGAGAGAGGACATGGCCATGAGAACCAAAAGTCCCATCTGTGACTGCTTCTGTCTTTTATTTGCAGTATTCGGGGGAAGTTCCTGAGAACAGAGTGGAGGTTGTGGTTGCAAATTTGACAGTGATGGACAGGGACCAGCCTCACTCTCCCAACTGGAATGCCATCTACCGCATCATCAGCGGGGACCCCTCTGGCCACTTCACCATCCGGACAGACCCTGTCACCAATGAGGGCATGGTAACTGTGGTCAAGGTAAGTGGGAAGCCAAAGTAAAGCCATATTTCTCACCTTTTAAGCTCACTAAGGCTGAAAGAATTGCCCAAAGACTGCAATTATTTCATGCCTTCTCTACCTGGGAGTACGAGTGCTTCAATCTGTTGTTTCCCCCCTTGCTGTGTGGGCGTCCTGAATACTTTTACTATGCCAATGGTTCTGAGTTTCTCCCACTGTAAGCTCTCATAAACTCTCACATGCCAAGAGCAGCTGCCTGCATCAGAGCCTGACCTGATCCTTTTGAGCTCCGGCAGTGGGGCTCGTACCAGGACTGCCCAGTCCTGCCCTACTTGATGCCTCGGGCAGAGGCTGCACCTTCTTCTTTCTGAGCCTGTGAATAGGGGATGGCATTTCACTGCAGGAGATCAGCCAACTGATCTGCAAGGAATGTAGGAGAGATTTCAGAAGCAATGAATTTCCTGGTAACAGAAGAAAAGAAGAGAGATTTTCCTCTGAGTTGCTTAGCAAAAAAATGGTTGCAGAAATTTTCCTTTTCCTACAATCAAGCAATAAACACACAGTGCGAACCACATCCTAAGTGAAGGCTGCTCCATGTGTTAGATCTTCAGTGGATCTTGTCCAATGATTCTGAGAAATAAGACTGTAAATTTTCACTACCTCTTCTTTCCTGTATATTTTGTCGTCAACATTAGGAGAGCCCAAACCCTCCAGGTCTTCACAAGTGTCAAATTCTGTTTCCCTTCTTGCCTCCAGAGAACGTGCCTCTATCATTGCTTGAGAGTTCGCTCCCTACTCCCTGAGACCAGCAGCCCAGGCAATGAATGCTCCTGCAGTAATTGCACACAGTCAGAAACTACTGGGTTCATTCATTCAGCATTCACTGAATCTCTTCCCAGAAAAGATGCCTATAGATGCTCCCAGTGACTGCCATGAAAATGAAGGCATCATGAATAGGCTGCTGTGATCTGTGGGAGTTTGCACTGCACACACTGTGCACTGCATCTGAAATGGATAATATGTGCTGGCATGAACAAAGACTTCTGAGAAGTCTGGCCTGCTCGAACAGAAAGTTTTAATCAACTACTTAGGATGGAGCACCTGTGTTTAAAGAGCAAGCTGATTAAGGAATAACTCTGTGTTGAAAAAAAGGAGTCCCACTCCCTTGTAGCTAATAAGTTGCAGTCATTCTTAGTACTTACAGTTTGGATATTAGAAAAAAAATGACACCAGAGGAATGCCAGTGAATTAATGCTGGTAGGAGCGTGTGAGCTTGCGAGCTCATCCTGTTCTGTGGCCCTGGGCTATGAGTGTGTGTCTGCAGGTGCCACTTTGCTGAAAGTTTAAGGAAGACATCATTTTACCTGCTAGATGATATTTCAGCAGGGTCCTTGTATTTATCGCCCTTTATTGCTCTGTAATGACATTTGACAGCCTTATCTTGTGCAGTGCTGCTCAACTTCTTCAAGCTTAGCAGTAGCTCTAGATGCACATGTGTATGGACATGTTTATGCACTTAAGTGTACCTATAAGCATATGTCTATATTTTCTGCCTAAACAGAAAACATTCCACAAAGTAAAATGGAACTATTTGACTTGTGTTCATATCGACAGTCCGTCTGAAATTCAAATGCCAGCACTCTGACTGAAAGCAAGGGAGGAGCTCTTATTCTTAATCTAGTGAAGCGTCATGACTGTAGTTTAAAAGCCATGTCAGAGTGAAGAGCAGGGATTTACAAGATCATTGCTGCTACGCAAGGATTTTTGCATAATGAACCATCCTTTATTCAGAACATGCAAGCAAAAAGCGGGGCAGATTTGTCAAGACCCCATAGATGCTGGTGTTGACTTTCCACTGCTGTGTAACCCACAGTGATCACAATGCAAAGAACCACATGAAAATCCTATCTTGTCAAGCTGAGCTCAAAGCTTGAAATTGCACTGAATGTCTTCTGTATATAACCTTACCTTATCCTCCTGGGTGCCCTGAGTTGCTTACCCTTATCAAGCCTGCGAGGCTTTTTGGTGTATTTTCAGCAAGGAGAACGAGTGAAATTTCTTGTGATTAAATTTTCATGGTGAAGAAGGGAAGGCTCTTAGGATTCCACTTTCTTTGAAATATTTTGTTCTTGGTTAATAAATGAATATGCTTAAAGGTTAGGGGAATGTATGAGCACCAGACTGGGTGGCCAGTTAGCACTTGTTCTTCATAGTGCAAGAGCAGGCTTTTGCTGGTTTAATCCCTTGTATAGGTTGAAAACACAGGTAACAAATTAATTCAAGTAATGAACCTTTTATGTACAGACCCTACACAGCTGGATTTTTCATGTGACTCTTTAGGCTTGTTATACATAACTCCCCACCGCTGCAAGGAAAGGGGTTTGCATCTGGGCTATAGCAATCACAGACAGTGCGGAGAAGGGGATGCTGTAGAGAATCCAAACCAGAAGCCCTTTGGAGTTCAAATGGAGCTCACAATGGCCATTCTGCAGCTGCTCTCAGCAAAGCTGCATCTGCCGCTCCAGTCTGGTCACCAAAAACATAACATTTCCTTTTTCTGTTCATGTCTTTTCCAAACCATTTCCATAACTAGACCCTAATCTTCAAAGGAAGCCTTGATCAAGGAGAGAGAGTAACTTCTCACACAGCTGAGACATCGCAGAGTCTGGAGACAATCTCCAGGAGCAGCAGTGGCTGCCCTGTGGCAGCTGGCTGAGTGAAACATTATTATAAACTCTGCATGAATCAGAGCTGTGAATTTATAATGGGGATGCTTCTGAAGCTGCAGTTATTATTTGCTTCAACAATAACATAAGGCAAATTTGTTCTCTTTAGTTAAAAGTACCTTGAGTAAAGAGGGACACGTGGCAAGCCCTTGGTTTCACTCTGCTGCTTCTGGGCAGGAGGTGCTCGTGAAGGAGGGGAACGTGCAGGAACTGCAGGCAGGTGTTTCAGAGACAAAAAGGTGACTCTGGGACAACCTGTGGGGTGGGTGTTGTGGGGTGAATCCTGTCCCTGTGCTGTGTTTCTGCATCCCTGGTTTTGGAGCTCCCAGGAAAGAAACACAGCAGGTGAATGAGCAGCTTAACAGATCTTAAGGAAAAAATATAAAAAAGATTTAAAGAACCCACATCCAATAGATCTGTGTGCAGTCAATGTACGTCCAGTGCACCATCAAACAAGGAACTCATTCCTGCATCAGCCCCCAGTGCTGCTCAGAGCTGCCCCCAGCACTGGGAGCTCATGCAGGGACCGGGTGCTCCTGTCCATGACAAGGCTAGCAAACAGGCAGCACGTGAAAAAGTAGAGAATGAAGGAACATGAATTATAGGTGCGTGTAAGGAATTGAGGAAATGTATTAGTCGAATTGTTTTGAGGCCTCAAATAGTGTTTAAGTGAGAACTTTTACCATCCATCTATTTTGAATGCGGCAGAAGTCGGTGAGTCAATGCCAGTGGGTGTACTGGGAATCTTTGTGCTTCCTTTTATTTATTAAATGTTGGCCCTGCCTGTCAGGAAACCATTTAGCAGTAGGAGCATTTGCACTTCAATTGAATAGAGATTCCACTCTTTTACCTTTTGCCCCTGAAATTTGTTTCTCTGTTGTAGTCTCCTCTGATTTGATTTCTTTCCTGACAATGCTGTATTTTAAAGAGATTACAGAAGCCAGCTCTGGCTGATGTAAATCTGTATGGCTGTACCAAAGTCACTGGAGCTGTGGCATTTTACACCATGCAACTCAGCACTGAGCTGTGAGCAAGAATGGTTACGCTTCTACATTCATACATTGCAGCGTTGTTTAACAAACAGAGGTGTGATCTTGCATAACTCAAGACTCCCTGGCAGATGATTAGCAACTTCCCTCATAATAATTAGTGGGATGGATAGGAAACTATTATATTGCTGCTATTTGGCCAGTTGTGCCAGCAAAGGCTCTTCACTCCTTCTGGCTCCTCAGACACAGCATCTTCACATGTGAGTATGCAGAGATCTATGACCACCCAAGAAAGATCTGTGCAAGCACACAACCAACCTCAGAGCTGACCAGGTGCTGTTCCTTGGGGCTGAACCTTTGCTTATGATGTTACTAAAGAGGAAAAGTGAGAGCACTTCAGGCTCATGGATCCATACAGGCTGCCCTGGTTACTCAGTCAGCAGTTGTGAGTGCAAATAGAACGGTTCTGAGCAGGCTCTGCCTGTTGCATTTACAGCAAACCCTCGGTGGGTTTGTTCATTCAATGCTAAACTAACACTGGCAGTTTCTGGTTTGGAAACTGCTTAGCATTGGAAGCCAATACAGGGCAAATCCTCCCTGGCAGCTGCAATTTTTACTTTGTGTTTTTTTTTTTAACTATTTGGCCCTCGAAATACTGGAAGACCAAATCCTTGCTGGACGGAAGCCGGTCTGGATTTACCCCTTCAGAAGGACTGTGCTCAGAAGGAAATGAGATGAGGCAAAGACTTTCATATCATCTGTCTTCTAGATCTTGCAGCTTTCAGCCAGAAGGTAGGATTTATTCCCTGCTTGGATCTATTCTTGCTTGCTTGTTTGTTTCAGGCAGTCGACTATGAGATGAACAGAGCATTCATGCTGACAGTGATGGTATCCAACCAAGCACCCCTGGCCAGCGGAATCCAGATGTCCTTCCAGTCGACAGCAGGAGTCACCATTTCAGTTACGGATGTCAACGAAGCGCCGTACTTCCCAACGAACCACAAGCTGATCAGGCTGGAGGAAGGAGTGCCCACAGGGACTGTCCTCACGACCTTTTCAGCTGTAGATCCTGATCGCTTCATGCAGCAGGCAGTAAGGTGGGTGAGCAGGCAGTAAGGTTGGAGCTCGGGTCTGCATGGGGAATTTCAGCAGCAGCTGAAGTCTGATTTATGATTTAACAGATGTGGTAGCAGTGCAAGACCTGGTGGGTTCTTGCAGCCTCTGTTGGGTGCTTACAGATTTACCAGAGCTGGTAAATCCCACAGAATTTTCTTTTTTGCTACCAGTCTGTAAGGACTGTGGTGTTTTTGGCAAAGCAGAAGCACTCTGTGTGACCACAGCAGAGGCCGCATAAACCTCCATCAGTGCTGACATTTTGTGTCAGGAGGAGTGTGCAGTATTTCACCTGGCGCAGCACTGTCTGGTCTAGAGAATGATTGTTTATTCACTGCCTTGTTCTTGCTGTCTTTAGACAGGTATTGCAGCTGCTAAGGAGAGGGGCCCTCCAAACTAACAAGCCAGTTTTTCTTCTGTTCATTTTGAAATATTGGCCTTTGAAGGGCCTTTGTTTCCCTGACATGCGTAGCAAGGCTGGTTCTTCAGAGCAGAGAGCAGTTTGTTTGTGGCTGAATGCTTTCATCCCCAGAAACAACATCTGCCATTTCTTGGGGGAGGACTGGGTCTGCTGAGCCCTTCATGTGGTCACACAGTGCCTGTGCAGGGTTTGTAAGGCTTGCTGTAAATAAGAACATCGAAAGTACTTTTCCCTGGGGCTCCCAGGTCACACATTCTGTGAATCTCAGAGCACTTTGCTTCCCAGCACAGGTATAATCTCTCTTACTGCCTTTTCTTCAGGGTAGCCTGATGCCAATGAAGCAGTGAGGTATTGTCACGGTCCTGTAGCCATGCAAAGGTATCTTTTCTTCCTTCACCACTGACAATGGTAAATTAGGAAAAAAAGATACTCTAAAAGCTAAGCTTATGAATCCATGGTGAGCAGTTCTCAGAGAGCTGATCCAGCTGCTGTAGCCTTGCGCACTGTTCTCAAACAGTCTTTAATAAAGTGAGGTTTTATAAAAGTGAGATAAGGAAGCAGGAGCATCTCCATGCAGGCACAGCTTGGCATGGCCAATGTCACACCTCAGGTTATCCTCATTAGCCACAGACACATTCATAAGGCCAGGCTGGATCCCTGGTCATTTAGCTGTGCAAGGGAAAGAGACACACAGCAGTGATATTAAAAAGAAATGAAAACATCCCAAAGGGTCTAGCTCCATAAAATGTAATTCTTTCCTTTGGCAGGGGCTTGTGAAACTGTGGCTTTGCTTTTCTGCTCACATGGATTCACACAGCTCAAGTTTTGCTTTGAGCTTCAGCTTCAGGCAGCCCATTTCTGGAAAGGAATATTCACCAGCAGCCAGAAGTTCTCCTGTTTGTGTATTTGAAGACAAAAAAAAAAAAAAAGAAATTGATATCAAGCTGTCAGCAGGTCTGAGCCCCCATGAAATAAGCTCAGCTTTTGTTTGCTCATTTCAGTGTTTTATAGCATGGCCATTTATTAGCTTACAGTTTAACCACAACTCAAGCTCTAAAAAACAGAGGCAGAAATCTGTAGCCATGAAAAGGATAGAAGCAAGAAAACAAGCAGAAAAAGTCTGGAGAACATGGAAAACCTTTGCCCAGAGCAAACCATGTTCATAGCTGGCCGTATAAGACCTGAACAGACTGGGGATGAGTTGACCTAATACTCAGGAATCTGTCCGAGCATGAGCTAATTTAGGGCAACATAACAGGAGAGAGCAGAAATCTGCCCCCAGATCAGGCATACGCATGCAGTGGTCATTGCATACCCCATTTCCTCTTGGCTGCAGAATCCTTGGGCTAAGGTGCTCCCAGTAGCAGAAAGCTGACATGTAAGTGGCATTTGATGGGAAAAGAAAAAAAAAAAAACTTAAAAGGGGAAGAAATAGAAAAATTGAATAATTGTAGAGGTCAAAAACCAGCTGCTCAATTAGTATTTTGTTTGTAAACAAAACTGCTTATCCAAAGGTCCTTTGAATCATGGGTCAGGAGTCCAGAAAAACCTTATTTCAAGCAATATTAAGGGTATGTCAGTGAAAAGACTGCCATGTATTTATTTCCTTTCTCTGTAGATACTCTAAGCTGTCAGATCCTGCAAACTGGCTGAACATTAATGCCACAAATGGTCAGATCACTACTGCTGCTGTCCTTGATCGAGAGTCAGACTACATTAAGAATAATGTCTACGAGGCCACATTCTTGGCGGCTGACAATGGTGAGCCCAGGCTTCACATTGTTCATGCTTCAATAAGACTCTAATGTGATGCATTAAGAGAAATGATGCCCTGACAGAGTTGTCAGTATAAGTTATCTTTTTCCCAGGTTTTTATGGTCAAAAATGTGAAAGTGGGATGGGAAATTGCTGGAGTAAATTAAATGTGCACAGTATACAGAGAGTGTTATTAAGGGAAAGGGAGGGCAAATGGAAAATCGATTTGGGGAGTTCACTGTAGCAGTGTAGCCTGAACTTAAAAAAATATCAAAGGGATGTGATCTCCAAGGGCTGCTGAACACACCGGTCCTGATAATTGTCCCAAAGGCACTGATCAGAGCATCCAGGAAGTCTTCCATCAGGAAAGCAGAAATAATTGCAGGGGATGGCAGGAGGGTATTAAAACTCAATTGAATTGCGATGGCCTTCATGAAAGGTGTCTGTCCGTCATCAGAGCTAATCTCTGTCCATTGTGATTTCTGAGATGTCCAGCCACCATCAGAGCATCTGGATCCTGGTGTACTTTATTATCAGAGTTATTGAAGCCAGCTCAGATCTTCTTATAGAGAAATCAAGGCTTGCCCTCCTCTACTCATTAAAGATCACACGGTGCTTTCAGCCAAATTAGCACTGTGAACCTCAGTGCCAGACTCACTCTAGGTCAGTTCCATTGCTGCTACTGTAGCTTTCCTGGGCAAGCAAAAGTCTTCTTCTCCTCTCCCGTCCTCACCTTTCCCCTGTGGGGTGCTGGATGCTCACACCAAACCTGAGCCAAACTTGAGCAATAGAATTCAGTTGAGACTTGCTATATTGTTTAGACACGGTAGGTGCTCTCAGGATGCTTTCTCTGTTAGCTCTTCTTGTCCCTTAGGCTGAACGGTGCCATGTCTGTCATAAGGAGATATGGTGATGCTTGTAGGGCTAAGGAAAACTTGCTTGCTGTGGGTTTTCCAGTTTCACTTCAGTCATTGCATCCTGGATCACAGGGACAAGACAGACTTGAAAATTTTGAATGCTAAGCAGAAGTACCATGCAGGCAATTTTGCCCCTGCTTTGTGCCATCAGTGGTAGGGCCACCTGCACTGACACATCCCAGCTTCCCCTCTGTGAAGGCAGCCAGGGCAGTGAAATCCAAAACAGCGCAAGGAGTTCTAGCAGCGTTTATCTGCAAGATTCCCAGGGCAAAATGAATCAAATGAGCTGGCTAAGGCTGTACTCAGAAGCAGTGGTACAGCATGAACCCATCAAACTAATCCTCTCCATCTGACCTTGCAAATCCAGGTCACTTAGCACAACATGATCTGAAGTTAACCCTTTCTCTTGGCTTTGGTGCTGATGCTGCAGTGCATCAGAACCTCTCCACATCCATCATTCAGAAGCTCAGAAAGTGAGGACCTAGATAAATCTCTCTATTCTGAAAAATTAATCTATCACTGGTATATTGCAGATGTTAAAATGCACATAAAGCAACAACTTATTTAAAATTCTGTCTAGAGTGCTTAGGATAACATCAAAATTTTCATCTAGACTAATAGGCTCTTCATATTTCCCCCAAGTTCCACCTTCTCTGGTATCACGTACTCTGCCTCTGGGATGGGGTTTTTTGGTGGGGATTTCTCTTTCTTTCTTGAAGAAGCAGCATCTCATTTCCTTAATTTCTTTTTGCTATTTTCAATATATTATAAAGAAGTAGTTTAGCCAAATATCCGTTGGAATACAACAGTTAAATGTTGATGCAGCAGTTGCACGTTCCCCTCTTTTTCTTTTTCTTTTTTTTAATACTCTTATTGCTAATTCAATCTTAACTGCAGGCAATGGGCCCATTTCTCCACTGAAGTCAGTTGTGCTGTGCTAGTTTGCATCTCCTGGGTGTAAAGTCTGAAGATCCCTTGTAGTGCATCACCTGCTCTGTGCACACCTCTGCTTTCTCCACATAAGATTGCTGAAATTACATGAAATGTTGCATGGTTTGCAATACTCAGATACGAACATTTCAATTTCCATTTTTCCTGAGCCTACTGCTAAACTGCACTCAGGTGCACAAAGAACCAAAAATACCAGGAACCTGAGCACAGTAACACCCCGATACCCACACCAAACTGCATTTGTTCATGAAGCAATTGCAGATTATATCAGCAGCATGGGAGGCAGTGCCCCTCAGGCAGCTGGTTTGCATTCAGCCTATCTCAGAAGTTGTGGATGAGTGTAGACCCTGCATTCATCCCAGAAAATAGGTAACATGAGGACAGCACAACTACTTTGCTTGGTCCCAGAATTCTATTTTCATGTTCAGTGCTGGAATCCTGATGAGCTATCTGTGTCTCCAGAAACTTTTGCTGATCAAAGACATGGTTTTAGAGGGGGAGCTACCCAGTGCCTACAGGCTGAAAGGGTGAGACCAATCATCAAAGAACTTACGTAGGAATCATGAAAGAAGAATTTCCAAGGCTCCTCCAGAGTTCAAGGTTCCCTTAAAAAAAAAAAAACAGAAGCATAAATTGGAAAGAATATAGGCAGGAGAGCCCGTGGAAGCAACACCTGAAATGCTAGCGAGGGCAAGGTTTGTGTAGCTTTGTATCCAGAATTTAAACTTAATAAAGAATTGCTGAAGCAAAGCTACCTGAGAAGGGAAGCAGTGGGCAATCCTGAGCAGAGCTGTTGGATGTGTGCATGGGGATAGAACTTAAAAATATCACACTATTTCTGGAGCAGCTGGTCCTTCGTGCTAGGCAGGGCATCACTTTATGTAGCTGGGTCACAGTCAGGCAAGCAGCAAGAGGCTGGAGGACCAAGGCTGCAGTGCTGTGGCACCTCTGATGGCTGGGACAAATGGGAGAGGCTGAAGAACTGTACACTGGAACATACTGTTGCTGTCATCAATTAGGAGCAGCCCCTCACATTTGGTAATGATTGGCTCTCACTGTAGGCTTTGAGCAAGGACCGTTCACTCAAGCTTGAATTCACTGTGGAATGGGTTATAGAGTTGGGCTTTCTTTGGAGCAGTGTAATAGTCTACAAATCTACAAACTGGCTAGCTGGTGCTACAGTAAATGCTAGCTAAAGGATTACTCCATTTATTTATTTTTTCCTTCCATGTTTTCCTTCCAAGCCCTCTTCTTCCTCCTTTTAGCTGTCTTTTCAGATGGTTTTTTCTCTTCAAAACAGCAGTTACCAGAATTTGTACTAACAGCCTGGCATCACCTCCTTGTATTTTTAGAATTTGACTAAAGATATTGCTGTAGGCTACAAATCTGCAGAGCTGAACCTCCACATTCTGCAGGAGCGAAAAACAGCACCATTATGAGGCTTGGGGAAGTTTTAATAATGCCTCTTAAAGCAAGAGACCGTGAATGTGCAGTATGTCCCTAGTAAGGTCCAAGGAGGGAGGGAGAAAATCCTGGTTTATTGAAATTGGGAGGCAGAGTGGGGATGGTCCACACTGTCATATCTTCTGCTTCCCAAGTGATGGGCATCGGTTCTTGTTCGGTTCAGGTATACCCCCGGCCAGCGGCACTGGCACGCTGCAGATCTACCTAATCGACATCAACGATAATGCTCCTGAGCTCCTGCCAAAGGAAGCACAGATCTGTGAAAAGCCAAACCTGAATGTCATCAATATCACAGCCGCAGATGCTGACATCGATCCAAACGTTGGGCCCTTTGTCTTCGAGCTGCCAAGTGTGCCATCTGCGGTGAGGAAGAACTGGACCATAACACGACTGAATGGTAAATGGGGCAGGCAATCCTAAGGACATTTGGGCTCTGATTCACTAATGAGGCCACGTGCAGTTTCAAACTTCCAAACTTTCCGACTTTTTTATCTGATTTTTATTTTTTAAAGCACATTATGGCTGACATTATAGACAAGATAGTTAATCAGAAATGATTTGTATCAGACCTGCAGCATAACTCTAAGAGCCTTGGCACTTGGCTTTTTTTAATGCAGTTCATAATTATGAATGGTTATCAGTACTGAACAGAGTATAAATCATCCATAATGGCCAAGGGGAAAAAAGCTATTATCAGTCTTCCTTATGTTCCAGTGTAATTGTCATAAGCCACAATCAGGATCAATGTTCATTTCTCTGACCATAATTGCATAAAGGAAGCCTTTTAATTTACCATAGAACCAGGAGGGCTAGGTAAGTGTGAAGATTACCAGTATGTGAAGGATTTTTACGTTGCAGCATGCAACCACAATTGGCCCTAATTGCTCCTCTGATCAGTGGTAGTTTCAGCAGAGGATTGAAAACATCATGGAACCCTGATTTTGCCTTCAGACCTGATCCCCGACACTGAGAGGCCTGTGCCTGTGTAGTTTGAGGCTCAGCCCCACAGCTCTGGTACCCAGTGGGAGGGAACTTGAGAAGGATTAACGCAACTGAACAAGTCAGGGATGGGGTTTGGGCTTCCCAAATCCCCCAAGGAGTGTGGGCATGGCTTTGTGAACCATGGCTGTCCGTATCTACCACACATCTGTCTGCTTCGGTCTCTCCAGGTGATTACGCCCAGCTTAGTTTACGGATCATGTACCTGGAAGCTGGTGTGTACGATGTGCCAATCATCGTGACGGACTCAGGAAACCCCCCCCTGTACAACACATCCATCATCAAAGTGAAGGTGTGCCCGTGTGACGAGAATGGTGACTGCACCACCATCGGGGCGGTGGCTGCTGCAGGACTGGGCACGGGAGCCATCATCGCCATCCTGATCTGCATCATTATCTTACTAAGTGAGTACCGCAGGGGGTGACACCACTGAGGGATGTCACAGTTCCCACCAAGCTCCCGTTTGTCTCATTAAATGCTTTATTTCCTAATGAGCCATACAAGCTCTGTGCAAAGGACTGAGCCGTGAGCTTTGGGCTGTGGGTGGTGACTGGCGTGTGTGCCAAATCTTCTTTACTGCAATGTCAACAGGGCAAGCATGGGCTGCACACTTCAGACGTTCCTTTTTAAGGCTTCCAGTAGCTTTACAGATACTCATTACATCTGACAACATCCTGTAGGTCATGAGTATGATATGAGATGTACTGGTTTCCAGTTCCAGATGCACTGGTTATGAGAGTCTGTCTGGTCCCTGACAGATCCAGTGCACAGCTGCAATTTGCAATCCAAAGAGAAAAAAGCAATGGTAGTTAATCTCATTGTTTGTAAAATTGCAATGGACTGGAGAACCAAGGTCAGTTTGGAGTGTTTGCAGAGGAAGGACCTCCAGTTTGGGGGAGCACTCAGGCTGGGGGTGATGTAAGATAACACAGAGCCACAGCCACCTCAATTGCCCAGCAATGCCATTAGTCCTGGATTTTCGTGTGCGTTGCCAACAACCATGTGTGCACACATTTTAAAATAAAAATGATATCATTATAACTTCAAGCAGGAGTTGGCACAGTAGGGATAGATAAAAATGAGTGCCGAAATGAACAATGAGGTAAATATTCATCAAGAAACACAGGATGAAACCATGGGGCTCCCATTAAAGCTAATGGGAATTATGGAGCTAAATCACATTTAATTTTTACCCCCAATGTGTGTAAACAGAGAACAGACAGAGCAACGTATGCTACAAATGTCACCTAATGCCGTTATGATATGGTACATTAAGAGAGTGGGTCATCTCTGGGCAAATATCCACCCTCCTGAGCCAGCAATGGAATATATGGCCATGTAATTGATTTGCCCTGTCAGTTTGGAGAGGGAGCAGCAAAGCCACTGGCTGTGCCGTCCCCGTTCCTCGTCCAGCACATCCAAGCAGGCACAAACATCTCCACGCACAGCTACGATGTGCACATTCTGACTTTCCTTGGACGCGTGGTCCCAGCAGTGAAATTTTGATGCTGTCCATTCACGACACACATTTGCTGTGATTGCAAGCACCTGCAGGCTTCACCACCCCATGGAAGATTGGCTCCTAATGCTGAATTCATAGAGAATGGGAACACAGGAAGAGTTTGCACCACAGATCCCAGAGGTGATAAAACACACAACTTCCTTCTGCTGCTCTCTTTTAAATCCAGTGCTAAAATACGGTTTAAACAGTTGAAAATCCGATTGACTGAAATTAACATCAGCTGAAGGACATTTGATTTAAGAGATTCCTCTTTTCATTTTCAGATACATTATCCCTTTTTAAATTACGGGTTTTATTACAAAAGCTTATTTTTACATTCATTGTAATTCTAATTGACTTTTTTTTTTTTTTATCTTCAAGAGCTGCAAAGCACTGCATCAGTGATGAGAAATGTAATTTGCAATGAGCGGAGTTTTTCAGCTACATCCTTCTGGTGTTTTGCCTCCTTTGTATATATTTTATATCATGGCCTCTGAACAAAAGCCTGCAAAAATGCAGATGGATTTTTTTGTGTGCGCAATTTGTCCATTTTAGAGTCAGAGGGTCAAAGTTTGATGGCTTGAATAGAAAGAAGCAGTGAGGGGATGGATCAGAGGGTGCTCAGGTGAAGGAAGTTTCTGTCTTTACCTTTGCTCAAAGGGTTTTTCTCCTTCCTAATACCTGATGTATTCGCTGCACAAATAACACAGTTAGGAGAAGAGCAACGCAATAAAAAACTGTGAAGAGTTGAAGACAATAGATTTCAAGAAAAACTACATGCAGAGTGAAAATGGGTCTAACAGCAGTAATAGCACTTCCCATTTCTACAGAGGGAATAAAAGGAAGGAGAGTGCACTACATCCGCTATTGACACTTTGAAGGTCTTGGGTTTTTTTCAAGGTATCTGTAAAGGTGTTAATGGTGCAGTTTTTTCCACAAGTGCATGAAAAAGTAGCATTAAAAAAAAAAAAAAGAAAGAAAGAAAAGGAAAAAAATAAAGTGGTAACCATTATAATATTGTCTTTGTGGACTAGGCAGGTATCTTGTTGTGAGAGACTTGAAAAGGAAAGATGAGAAAAGGACTTCAATAGTCTGCTAAACAGCTGAGGTTGTATATTGCAGATAAGAGTGAGTTTTCTTTCCTTTTCATTTTTCTCTCTTGAATAGATGCAGGATAAGCACTATCTGAAAACAATTCTGTTAGCTAGCAGGAAAGGATGGCAGCCAATTGGCACACAATGGCAGTAATTAGCTGTCCATCCTCTTCTGCTCACTTCACTGAATTCCTGTTTGGGAATAAACACTTCGGTGCTGGGAGAGAAAGCACACATCCTCCTGACCCATCTCTCTCTGCAGTGGAGCTGCTGGCGAGTCTGCTCCCCCAGCCCTGTGATCTGCACGGCAAAGAAAGCCATGCAGAACACATTGGTGGGAAACAGCATCTGTTTATTCTCCTTGTGCAGCTAAAAACACAACAAAAGCTTGGGATTGTCCATCCCACTTGGGTTTGCTTTCTGTTGTCTGCATGGCTAAGGTCAGCCCAAGTGAGATGGAGCTGTGCCACATGTTCCCACCTTCTCCCCTTTGACAGGTGCCAAATCACAAGCTGTCTGATATGATTTTAGAAGTTTAGATAACTTATCTCACTTACCAAAGAAGAATATGAATGAGCTCAAATTGGATTACATGACCCAGAATTACTCAGCCTCCCCAAAGCAGACTTCCTTTGCAAACTGTAGACAGATCAGCAGAACAAGCAAGGGCTCACAGCCTGTGCTGCTGTCAGAACACCACTCATGCACAGGTGTTGTTCATTTGTCTGAACCTGTTGCTTCTCAGCAGCTCCCTCCTTTGCCTTTATTCTGTGCCCTTTGTAGAAAAATTCAGGATTTAGGCCAAATCTCTTCAGAAAGGTGATGTTTTCACACTTGCCTCTTGCTTTCCCTTTGATTGTGTATTTTACTTCTGATAAACATCAGCTCAATCAACATCTGTGATGGCGCTTAAGGAACTGTTTGGATTGGAGGCCTATCACAGTATTCACAGCTCCCACTGACCTCTCCCTTACAAATGAGAACATGCAATTGGATTACATTTTATTCCCCTTACTAACAACCAGTGAAGTTTCTCCCCTAAACTCGTTGTGGTCTGTAATCTACATTGTAAGTCACACCATATGCAATGAAATCAACATTTGCTCAGCACATGCTGACACATGCAGAGGATTCTTGCATGGGAGATGATTTGAAACATCACTAGCCTTTACCATCAGCGTGAGCTTTGCCTTTGTAAAATGGGTCTACTGCTATAGTGGTGGCATCGAGTTCCTCTCCACGTGGTTGCATGAAGCAGGACAGGTTCTTGGCGCAGGTGAGGGGTGAGGAGGTGCCAGCACTCTGCCACGCAGCACTGCTCACCCAGCCCCTCTGCTCTTACAGCCATGGTGCTGCTGTTTGTGGTGTGGATGAAGCGCCGGGAGAAGGAGCGGCACACCAAGCAGCTCCTCATTGACCCCGAGGATGACGTGAGGGACAACATCCTGAAGTACGATGAGGAGGGCGGTGGAGAAGAAGATCAGGTGAGAGGGGCCAAGAGCAGCCATGCAATCTGTCTCAAGAACAGCAGATTCCCCTTCCCTTCTGGTTTTGTACTCCTTGTTGTGGGTTGTGTTCCGCTTGTTTAGATCTGAGTAGCTTTATCAGCTTCCTTGCCTTTCATGCTGAGGACACTGTTTGATCCCCACCTAATGGAAGTGAAGGGCCTGTGACACTCTCAGATACGTTGCTCAAGCAAATGGTGTGACTGCACCACGTAACAGGGATCCGGGTCAGGGACTTTGCCCAAAACTTGCAAAGTTCTTACTCAACAAAAAAAGCCCTCGCAAGTAACATTTCCTTTTTCTCATCACTGACAAGTTATTTATAAATATTGCTCCTGGAGATTCAATCATCCCCATCTGAGCACAAGAATAGTTTTACCAGCAGAACAAAGTACTGTTATAAACATCCAAACTAGCTGAGTATCTGCTTTCAGGCAATCGCACTGTGGGCTTAAATATTTTAGAAAGGATTTGTTAAAAATAACAGCTGAGGAAGAGCAGCAAAACACCATTACCTCCATGAATACATTTTTAATGAAATATTACCTGGTTCTCATTCCTTGAAAGAAACCTATTCTGTTGGGATTTTCCACAAGCAGAAAGAACATAATTACTTTAAAAGACCTACATGCATAAATGCAGCACATATTTTAATGTTTTTACTTCTGTACAAATGTAATTGGAATAACACATCAACCAACACTCTGTCATTCTATTATATTCTGAATTTTACCCAAAAGTAATGCACACATCTATGCATATGCAAACCACGGCTGATTTTTTATCCCAAAGATTTCAACACTGTGTTAAATATTCAAAAAGTATTTAAATATTTGATTTAACTTATGTTTTAAGATACACTCTTAGGAAGTCAATTTTATGAGCTATTCCGAGGTTAGGTTCGCCTGTAATTTAGAGGGATAGAGATGCCACATACCCAGGGATGGGATCTGGCATTGAACTTCAGCTGAGAAAGGATTAAACCCTTTGGCTTCACTGTATGTCCCTGCAATGTCGGGAAAGTAAGTATCTGAAGGAAAAGCCCTTGGTTTCACTTCTTGCCTTTCCATTTGTCACAGGATTACGACTTAAGCCAGCTCCAGCAGCCAGAGACCATGGATCACGTGCTGAACAAGGCACCTGGAGTCCGAAGGGTGGATGAGAGACCGATCGGTGCTGAGCCACAGTATCCTATAAGACCAGTAATCCCCCATCCTGGGGATATTGGTGACTTTATAAATGAGGTATCTTCTTCAGGGTGTCCTGTATCACATATTAAAAGCTTAAGCAGCCCGCACCAGCTGTGCACCGCTTTCCTGCCTGTATTAATGAGCACGAGATGCTATTCCTCACACGAGGCATCTAATTAGAACCAGGGGAACAATTCCCATGAGCAAAGGAAGCAGGAGTTGGCCTAAGAAAGGTATCATTGCTACAGAAAGCCAAAGTACAAACAAAAAGCCCAGGATTTCTGGTTTGTGGATATCAAAAACGCCATGCTTCTCAGCACTCAGGAAGGCATTGCAACAGGGAAGTGCTGGAGTCACCACCCCTGGTAGTGGTCAAGAAATTTGGAGATGAATTAATGATTCTATGACCTGATCCTGCCCTGTTTTGCATTGCTCTGAGTGATGTAGTTGCTGGCAGTACAAACACTGGCTGGATGTTCCCTCACAGTGTGGCCAGGAAGACAAATGCTTTGCCTAACATCAGAACACCATTCTTGGCTCCTGGACTTGTAATTATTTCACCAGTTTGCATCTTCTAGTGAGCTTAGTATGGTTTAGACCTCAAAGAGTTTGCAGAGCACAGACATTCATCTCCAACCAGATCTTCCTTTATTTTATGTTAGATTATGTCTCCTTTACCTACTTGTACAAACATCAATTCATTTAGCATTTCTCATCTCATTTTTTAGTTTTAAAATGAGCGATTGACTGGTTACGAGCCAATCAATGCATTATTTCCTCTGAGACAAAAAAACACCCATCCATTCCATGAGTCAAAAAAATAAATGTTACAGTGATTTAGTTCTGTTATTATATCAATTTTCTGCTGTATTTTTTTCTCACTCTCATCTTTAAAATTCCTTCTTCCTTTGCTCCTGCCTGTCCTTCACACTCACATTCACGCACACTTGTGCACAGGAAGGCTCTCTCTTGCATATGTGGAAACTGGGTTGGAGAAGAGGAGGCTCAGAGGAGATCCCATTACTCCCTACAGCTCCTGTGAGGAGGTTGGGGCGAGGTGGGGATCAGCCTTTGCTCCCATAGCGATAATAGCAATAGATAATAGCGGTAATAGCGATAGGATGAGAGGTGACAGCCTTAAGTTGTGCCATGGGACAGCCAGGTTGGATGTTAGGAAACATTTATTCTCTGAAAGAGCAGTCAGGCATTGGCACAGCTGCCCAGGGAGTGGTGGGATCACCGTCCCTGGAGGTGTTCAAGAAAAGGGGGATGTGGCACTGAGAGACGTGGTCTAGAATGGTCACAGGCACGGGTTGGTGGCTGGAATAGATGACCTGATTTCCTACCTTAATAATTCTGCGACTTTATGCCCTGTTTTTTTGTGCAGTAGGATGCGCTCTGTCTCCCTGCTCTGAGCCTAGAGAACTCTATTCCACTCCGCGTTTCTTGGTGCTGGGCAGCAGGAAAGCAATCCTTTGTGTTACGACCGCAATCCCTTAGCTTTGCACCCACACCTCCCTGCACCCTTCCCCATTGCCATGGCAGACACTGACACATCCCTGTACCCCTCCAGGGCCTGCGTGCGGCAGACAACGACCCCACAGCCCCCCCGTACGACTCACTGCTGGTCTTCGACTACGAGGGCAGCGGCTCCACCGCCGGCTCCGTCAGTTCCCTCAACTCCTCCAGTTCCGGGGACCAGGACTACGACTACCTGAACGACTGGGGGCCGCGCTTCAAGAAGCTGGCGGACATGTATGGAGGAGGCGAGGAGGATTGAACTGACCTCACTTATTTAAAGAAAAAAAAAAATACAGATAGAAGAAAGAGAAGAAAAGAAAAAAAAAAAAACAATTAAAAACAAACCCACAGACAACATTAACGAGAAGAGCCGATGCAGAAGCAAGAACTGTACAGATGTGGCAGCTTTTTTAATTAATATCCCCTGCTGACTGTATTGTTATTTTTAGTGGTGATTTAGGAGGTTTCTTTTTTTTTTTTTTTTCCTTTTCTTTCATTTTCAATTTCTTTTTTTTTTTTGTTAGGATATTGAGCTGTCTCGCATGAACACTTGTCTCTGCTGCAGGTTTTTTTTTTCTTGGTTCTGGTTTTTGTTTTTAATGTCAGCTGGGATATTGCTCGTTTATCTGCTTTATGACTAAAGAGAGTGAAAGGCACTCTGTCTTAACTTGAATTTCTTAGAACAGAAGCACTGTTTTTAAAATATATATATATATATTTGAAAGTGCCTTTTGGTGCATGTATCAGATTCCCTTCAATCTCAGGAGTGATGAAAACTAACACACAACCATCCTGGGCAGCACTCCCTGTGACCCTAAGCCAGTTCTATCTGGGAAGGAGTTAACAAAAAGGAACTGTGGAGATTGTTTCTTTTCTTTTTTTGCCTTTTTTTTTTTTCTTTTTTTTTTTCTTTTTTTTTTTTTTAAGGGGGTGACTCAAGGTGGGGTGGAGAGGCTGGGGGGGGTGGGAGGGGGGTTATGTTTTGAGTGGAAATCTTAACAGCCATCTTTAAGCCTCAGCAGGTGGTGAACCAGTCATCATGTTGTATATAACTCAGTGTTATCAGATGCAAAATACCGACTAGGGGCTCTGCTGTAACCTGGTCACACTCAATGTAGCTGCATAGAACTATAGCATTGATAAAGCCTTTGGTTATCGCGACAGAACTCTCCAACAGCCCTTGCCTACACCCTACAAGTAAATCGTGAATTGACCAAAGGCCCACTTGTTTGTTTTTATGCTATCGGCGTGTTTTGGCTCCCACGAGCGATGTAAATACCGGCGAGGTTGCGTGGTGCTGCCCACGGCCCCGGCCGCTCCCCCACCTGAAGGAGGGCATGTGGAGCACGGGGCACCGCTGCCATCCGCGAGGATGGAGCTCACCCAGTCCGATGTGAATGCCTTGGAGCATCCGTAGCCAAAGCTCAACACCATCACGTAACTCAGCTAATGTGTGTCCGTTCTATTCGATGGGTAGACACTGCTATCTGTAGTAAATGTTTTTGGGTTTTTTTTTTTTTGGAGAAGTGCAACGGGGGCCTGTTCAGTATCTTGTGGTTAATATGCTCAAGCATTGCCAAGCAAGCGAGAGGTTTTGCAGCATCCAGGCGTAACTCCACATCAGTATTATAAATGGTAGCATACTACCTAGTTTATATGTAGGATCAGTTTAACCAATAACAAATAGTTATTAGCTTTTTTTATTACATTTTTCCTTTACTGATTTGGACTAGTGGGTTTCTGTCTAATGTTTGTAAAATGATTTAGACTGCATGGATGTGTAATATAAACCACATTTAATGGATTATGAGCCACTTAATTAATGTGCTATGAAATCTTGGATTACCTGTGTTTTATATTCTGCAGACGATTTTGCAGTGGGTTCGCTACAAATTGTAAAAGTGCTTAGATCTATTTTCATTTAAATCCAAGAATGTGCACAGTACCGGAAGGTGATTATCCAGGGGATAATCGCGCTTTTTTGATATCTTGATTAATTCTCAAGTTGAATGCGAAGAGTTAACCAGGGGGGGCGGGGGGAGCGAGCGCATGCACCGAGAGAGCGCGAGAGTGAGAAGCAGAGAGCTTGTGCCGGCGAGTGGGCCTTGTTTCAGAGGGTGCAGACTGGGCTGCAAGATCGTCTCTATCGATTTTTGAAATGCTCCTAGTGCATTTTATATTTCACTGTATCATATTTTCTATAAAATGCAATTTCTGTAAATTAACGAGCATTTGAAATGTGTCTTATATGAAGTGGAATGTGGTAAAAGTCTGCCCGAGGGGATTCGCACGTCACCGGTCCGTTATTGACCCCCAGGATGCGACCTTTCCTTTTCCCCTTGGTCGCTCGGTCCGTTTGTCCTTTCCCTGCCTGCAGAGCCGATATGAACGCTGGAGGACGCACAGTGAGCAGCATGTACCCATCCCTATGAGCAGTGCTGGCACCCAACGCCTTTCCCATTTGTGTCCCAGAGCTCACACACCCTGCATGGCCACATGAGAGCCTCCTGGCTGCCCTGCCCCCAGCAGCCTGCACCATTCTGTTCCAGCATTCCCTATCACCCGTTGCTCTTACTGCTCTTACCCAGGGGTTCCTTTCTTGTCCCCGTTATTTCACCAACCAGAGTTTGCACCCCTGCAGAAACTCCCCACCCACAGCAGTAAGTAATGAAAATGCAGTCAGCGCTCCTCGCACAGCAGCGTTCTGTGCCCTGCACTGCAGCCTCAGCACATGGCTCTGGCCGCTGGTGTCCCCATGCAGGGCTGTAGGGCCATACAGCAGTGAGCTCCTTCCTTCTTGGCCAGTCAGGAGATGCCATCAGCCTTCAGCTCGTCTGAGCAGTTCTTGTTTTTAAGAACATTTATGCAACCTAAGTCAAATGAAACTGTTTGAGTGATTAAAAATAAACCATTGGAAACTTTCTTTTAAGAAATCAGCGGATATTTTTCTGCAGTGTTAGCAATCCAGCCACTCCAACCCCATAAGCCTTAAATCAAACTAGTTGATTATCTTTCGACCCAGTTCTGCTTAGCCTCCCTCCATAGGACCACCTCCTGCTCCACCACCGCCCTGCAGGGCCACACATGCAGCCCTTTCCCTCTGGTGGAACAGGCAGAAGGTAAGCAAGGAGCACCTCGAGCAATGTAAATCAGAGAATCACAGGATGGGTTGTGTTGGAAGGGAACTTAAAGCCCATCCAGTTCCAATCCCCTGCCATGGGCTGGTTGCCCCCCAACAGATCAGGCTGCCCAGTGGTCCATGCTGATCCCTTTTTGCAAATCTTTCTGTGCATTAATACTGCTTCTGCTTTATAACCCAGCTAAGATAGCAGCTGTCAGGTTGGGTAGTAGGAAAGCTTTCCTCTCAGAAGGAGCAGTGATGCAGTGGCACAGCTGCCCAGGAGTTGGTGGGGTCACCGTCCCTGGAGGTGTTCACTGAGGGATGTGGGCAGTGGGCACAGTGGGCTGGGGATCTTAGAGCTCTTTTCCAAGCTTAATGTTTCCATGATTAAGAATCTCATAGAAGTGGCATTTCCATTCACACTGGAAGTGACTGCAGCTTACTGGGAGCCAAGGTGGGAAAGTGCCAACATAACCTGACTGTACTCCTAAAGGTCACACTGGCTTGCTCTGTGATTTCATAAATGAAGCATTAAATTTTAGAAACTAAGTATGTGGTTCTGACACATTGGAGCCCCCAATTTTTCCATGCCACAAGGCACTGGGGGAAGGAGCATTGCATTTGGACAGGCAGAGAAGAGCCTACCCCAAAATACCCTTTTCACATCTAATTCCTCCACACCTCATTCCACTGCCAGGAGCTCCCAGCGGTGACCAGAGGATGGGGGCAAAGACAGGGAGGGGTGATAAGGGGAGATCTATAAGGTCTGTTCTGGGTGTCCTCTGCGTTGTAATAATTTGGATTCCATTTTTGTGTTTTCTTGTTTTTGCTAGACCAGGTGATGCCACTGCTGGCTGCAGGGTGGAGGTGGGCACCTCAATGGGTTTGCAGGGTTTGAATCCACCAATGTGGGCTTGCGAGCGTTGGAGGGTCATGATGCTCCATGCAGGGTCTGTGCAACACAATACGCCAAGATTGCAACTCTGTGTAGTCTCAAAGAAAACATACTAAGGTAAAACACAGGCTTTTAGTTGTGATGTCTTTTGGAGCTCTTCATGGTGAAAAGAATGGGGTTGGCTGTGGGGATGCTGTGTGTGATGGCTACACGCATTCATGGCAGCAGCTGGGCAGAGAGCTGCTCCCACCCAGCGCTAATGGGGAAAAAATCCAAGTCATCTCGGGCCACACAGACCCACCTGCAGCCACTCACCACCATGTGTACATAATGTAGTTAGTGCTTGAAGCAGCGCGTCAGGAAGGCGGCAAAGAGCCACGGCGACGTATCGATGTGTCACTGGAGCACTTTTTGTTCTAAGTTTGCATGTTCCCGGTGCAGAAGCAGCACTGCAGCCCGCATGGCCACAGTGGGAAGGCCTCTGCTGTTCCGCTGTGTTCACGCAAAAAAGCAATTTGTGTCCGAGCTCAAAGCCCCTTTTTTTGTAACCGTCAACAGCACAAATCTTTTGTATTGTTGTTTGTACCATTTTTGTACCAAAAAATCAAAAGAGGGAAAAAAAAAGGAAAAAAAAAAAAAGGGAGGGAAGAAAGTAAATGTTTTCAATGTGTTTTCAGTGCCACTGCAATCTTGGTTTCCAAACTGATAACAGCTTTGCTGATTTACTGTGTATCAAAGCTGAAGTGGCGTGCCGACGCCTGGCTCCGGTGTAATAAAAATAAAGTCCCCCTTTTGAACAGTCTCATTTGCTTCTGTAAGACAAAAACTTCACTCTCCCCTGCTGCACACCGCCGCGTTGGCTGGTGATGGGTTCACTCCTGCAGTGGGACAGCAAGCGGTGTGCAGGCCATGGGTTCACACACCTGTACATGGGGGTCAGTGGGGTTTTGTGTCCCAGCACACACAGATGGATTGAGTGGGGTCCAACCTCTGCTGTGGAGTGCCCTGCTAATCCATGGCCACAGGGAATGGGGCCGGGATGTGCAGCCCCAATGTGGCAGGCGCCTCATCTGTAATAACCACTGAGATGAATGCAAATCCAGCACAGCAATTTACTTCCCCCCGGAGTCAACTAAGAATGTTGTATTGCTAGTTTTGCCAATTCTCAAGCTGCTCCGTTTCTTAGAGTTATCTTTAACTACTGAATAATGCAATGCTGTTTCATCACAAATATTAGTTCTGCTATCACTGGCAGCCTGCGCTTCGCCATCCTGCTATTGGGCTCCCACCCACCTGCAGGAAGCCTTGTTCTGAGAATGGCTGAGCACCGTGCTTCCTG